TCTTATTGTAAATAAAATGATAGTTATAGCTATTAACATAATACCTAGTAATGTTTCGAGTGTTATTACTGCAGAGGCCTAAAGTTAAAAATCTAGGCAAAGTGCAGAGGAGCCAAGATTTTAAATTTGGATGAGGTAGTAAAATGCAGTGCAGACCAATCATAGGGCACAATTTATTGCCAATAAATGCCTGGAACACCTTGCCACGAAGTCATGTGTATGCGAAAAACAATGGCATTCAAGAGGAAACTGCATCAAGCCAACCAAGAAATAGAAGTGACTTGATGAACTCTACAAACTATCAACTACGAATTGTGATACATGATGTGAAGTACTATGTAGTTAATGACGTACGCACATCAGCTTTGCTTCTGTCATATAATAAATAAAATAACACCAATATTTTGTGGTATGTTCAGCATTTTATCAGTGACCATAAAATCTCACGATTAATGTGAAAATTTACGACATTGCTGCAAAAGAACACAAATTAATTCTGTTGCTGCACGATATTGTGGGGTGTTGCTTGTGAAACGTCTATGTAAACAATATTTGTATAACATGGTTTGAGAAAGATGGATTCATATAATTCTCTTGAACCTAAAGAAATGACCTTCTGTGAGGAAGTAGGTACCTTGACTTCCAGTGGGTACACCTTCATTGAATAAATATGATTACCAGGAAAGAGTCATTTGGTGGAATGCCAGGAAAACAAGGTTTTCCCTTTCCATAAAAACAATTCAGAACAAAACAAATGATGGACAAGTTCTAAAATACTTAAAAAAAAAAAACACCTTAAATATTACTCTAAATTGCTTGTAACTTCAGAATGTAATACTACAACAGTAATACAAATGTGCCTTGATACATGTAAAAGCAGAAAACAACATCATCAAATCCTGTACCTACTTTCTTTGTGCTTGATATTTCTGATGTAGTATCCTAGAAATCACTGAAGGTGACATATCCAATGCTTTTGTTAACCACATGTTTAAAGAAATCAAAGGATCATCATCAAAAAAAAATCGAAGGAAACATCGTAGTCATGTTTTACCCTTCATTTAATTTAACAAAAACAAGAAAATCTACTAGTAAGTAGCAATGCTAAAAATCCCAATGTATGTAGTGCACAAATCAATTTGGTACAAAATACTTCCTCCTTACTATGTTTTACAAGTTCGTGCAAATTAAAACAATACCATAAGAGGAAGTTTTCCACCTTCTAAATTTCCATCCAGTTTCATTTTTCCTTAATTTTGGACAGAATCACTAAACAACTGTGTCCCTTGCTTACAACTGGAACACTTGGTACAGCACTCCAAAAATTGACATTGTAAAGGATGCACGAACAGAAGTGACAAATACCCCCATTTATTCATGTAGTAAGGAACTCACTGGTATGTTGTCATCCATTTGCACGCACTTGGTATGTTGTCATCCATTAGCAATATTTATGTAGAGGTAAGAGTAATACCTAGTCTGTCAATAATAAAAGTCTTTAGTATTGATAATAACCTTAGTTAAATATATCCTAATAAGTATTTGTTGATGCAACTAGGAAGACATTCCATGAAGCACATGTTTCAGACAAAAAAAGAAACTTACTAATTGGTTTTCCACTGAAGGCTTCTCACAATGGAAAAAATCGCTCATAGAGAAAGCTGGTTATCATGACATTGTTTCAATTTTTCTCAGACATATTGGCTTTTCTTCTGTCTTTCAACATCAGAAATCCTATTGTGTTGCCTAAAAAGTTTCTAATGAATTTCAACCGCTTCCAGAATCTTCTTTACAAGGATTTGTACCCTGCATTGCAGAACTCTTGCTAGTATGTAAGCAGACGTGGTGTATCAGGAAAATGATATACCATACTCAACTTGTATCCAAGGACTAATTACTAAGGATGTCCTTCCTTAGAATGAAAGCAACCATTCACAACCATCTTGGACAGCTCCATTGCTTTCTATAAAATACAAAAAACCTGGTATGACAATATTTCATACACACACATAAAGGCATTCAATATCAGCATGTACTTAAAAATTATTTATATGGAAGAATTTAAACAAATTTGGGATGCCGACTAAAAATTTTAATTGAATAAAATAACTTGAAACATTACCAATGGTTCAGTCTATTGATTATTGTATTTTGTGCACATGAATTTCCTCATTCATTAATTTTATTACATCGCACCTCCAATAGAAAAGCAACCCAAGTGTGAATTTCTGGTATCTCGGATACTTCAATTTTAAATTTCGTACTGCTGTAATACTCGTTATAGATTGTACCAAATATTCACCTTCTAGCAGACAGTAATTGAAAATCAACTTCAGAATAGTAGCAGTACCTCTTGGTAACCTCTTTATCAGCTTTTAGCTGAAAAATGACGATTTCACACTTTCGTCACTTTTCCATTGGAAGTGCGATATTGTTCCAGTTTTTTAGTCACATAAAAAGAATGAAAACATTTAAAACATCTAAGATTTTGAAAATAAATTTTTAAGCTAGCACAAAACTAGACACCAACAAATTAAGGAGTTCCTATGAACTAAAATCATGTAGTTTTTAACAATTTTATAAAAGAGAACAAACCTCTAACAGTTATCTGCCACTACAAAAACCGAAGTGCATTGATATTGTAGTATTTACAGTCAGTAAAACTTAATATTTCTCGAATGAAGTAAAAAAATCACAAATTACTAAGTAGTACAAGAAACACTTCAAATATTTAATTATCTCTCTCAACTTCTACTTTTTCAATATAAAAAACACAAACGGGAAATGAATTTTTAATCTTATTCAAACGAGTAATTTTATACAAAAATTAACTATTAGTCTTTCTTGTCTGTTCCAAAATTCGTTCTGTAATTCTTGGAAAACAAATTTACAAAATCCACGAATACAACACTATATTAGTCTACGGAGAATAAAAGAGATTTAAGCAGTTCAAAAGCATTCAGTCACTAGAATATAAAGCAAAACTGTCCTTACCATGTATGAATAATGAATGAATACTTGTGGCCTCTTACTTTAGAAGGAACATCATACATTCGACATTTGGCTGGTTGACAAACAACCCAATTTCTGTCCATCCTCACGTCCGCCATTTTCCACCACGAAAGCGTAAGCGGTAGCGGCAAAGTAAAACCAGGGAGAATAAAACTATAACGCTCTCCACAATGCTTGAGCTGTACTCCGGAACATTCTCGAACAAGTATTACTCGCGTAACTTTTCTTGAGCGATGATCCCGATGACCGTGCTTCCCCCTCTCTGGCACAAAAACAGATGAAGGCAAGAGCTCGCAGCGACTCGCTGCCAGCGAGCACTGATGACAACATTCTAAACACATCTTCACTGGGGCGAACTGGAAACAATTTTCTTTTGAAGACGAGAACTTCTATCGGTTATTTTCTCCAAAAATCTAAAGAAATGACCGAAGCCGGTACGGATCTATCACAGGAGACACCTCGAACTCCTGATAAAGTTAGAACGCAAATTATTGAGAACGTTACGAAGGCGTGACTTATTCTCCAGAGATTGGCATTGCTTCATAATATCTAGTGGCTGTTTACGTAACTAATAACCGCATTTCTTCAATCCATCGTTCAAGAAAAGTAGCGCGAGTAATAATCAAAACCAAATGGCGACAGAAACTCGACTCCTGATCATAACCACGTGGCAAAATATAAATGATGACAGCATGTGTCAGGATTAATCAAAATCACAGAATCATCACGGATGAATAACTGCGCCGTGGCGTCACCTCAGGCCAGGTATGGCATTTCGCACAAAGTGTTCCTTGCCAACACCTGCTCCGGTTCAATCTAATTTGCGCGGGAAGCCTTACATTATGTTACATAAGTTACCATCAAAAACTGACAGGGTTGCCACCTCTCCGGGTGTCATAGACAATCTCCGGGCTCCTGTTACTGTTGAAAAGGGAAGAAGAGAGATAGACTTAGAATGCAATATATAGTGAGATCAAAGAAATTAGAGGATCCAGAGCATGGATACTAGTAACAAAGGCTCGGAAGCGTAGCGTCTGCAAGTTATCTCGAGTGCTTGGGCTTGAGGAAGCGCGGGCGGGTGACGGAGCTGGGTGAACCGGAACCGGTGGTCTTACTCGGTGACGACTGTGTTGGGACGGTGGGGTTTTGCGGGACTGATACTGAAGACTAACTGGTCTGGGGACGAGACGTGCTGCTGCGAGCGACGGACAATTTTTGTTGAATCTCTCTGTCCGCGGGTGTGTGTTAATTTATGATGGTTTCATTTGTTTGTATCTGTGAGACTGTCAAAAGCCAACTGTGAGGAACAGCCCTGATTCAAATGTTTGTCTTGGTAGTCCTATGTTAGACCACGGTGCGAAGTTCCGCTCATACGTGGCATTCTTTATAGTTGAGTTGCGTTGCTCGAGACAGTGACCATATCATGTTAAAGTTGTTCTTTACATCCTTTCTGGTAATCGTCAATATGTCTACACAATTCTGTTGCGATCCCCATTCCTGCCATCGACCTATCCTTTGGAGTGATTCTAACATGTACTAATCGCGTGATTTATGTCCCAGAGAGTTTGTTACACTTTTCGTGAGACGCAAATGGTTTTGGGCGTATGTGCGATGGCTGTGCGTCTTTCGAAGTTATGAGGTAATCACCTACTGACGTTATAAAAATACAGCACAGTCTCCCCAGTGCGTTAGGATAGATCTGCATGGTCGCAAGCCTGAGACAAACTTAGGGAGCCGATTGAAAACTGCTCTCTGTACAGAAATTGTTGAAAACAGAACTTGATCCGCGGCCAGTAGGCTTTTCCTAAGTCTGCGGGTTCGCTTGTGGGCTGACGTCTTTACTGTGACTCCTGATAAAACATTGCTCTAGATTTTGAACTTCTTTTTTCCTTCTTTATCCAGTGAACCTCATATTGTGATGACCTAGTCTTTTTTTTTCGTTGCCAATAATGGTGTCTTATTCCTGGTCCGAGTAGTGATTTTCTAATTCGGTTGATCTGGTGCTCCGTTGTTCTCTTTTAGAAATTGCAATTTTCTTTGAGTGTTTCTAAACACTTTTTTCATTCTGATAAAGCAATGAATTTTTTGTTTACTTATGTTGTTTGCTTTTCGAACATTATTGGCAGGCATTCTTGTGATTTTGCTACAATTTCTGTTTTAATTCATCTACTTGTTCAGCTATGTAATGTTGGATCAGACTTTATTCCCTGGTCTTTAGTGTTCTTCTGAAATTAATCTGACCCTCGGGTAACCATGTTTCCGATTTTGCAACAGCGATTCTATTTCTTGGCTATGATTGTCGTGTGTTGAATTAAGTATTCTTGACATCTCATTTAGACACGTATCCACCTGGCGCCTTTTCTCGTGTCGGCCCGTAATTGGAGATATGATTTTCGATCTCTGCTGCCCACTGGTAATTGAATATTTTACTACTTTCTACCTCCATTCGGAACTCGCCCTTTGACCTTATTCTTTCCTACCTTATGTAATTATTGTAACCCCAGCTTTCACAGGTACCCGTATCTCACCCCTTTGCAGTGTAGCTGACGACATCTTCTAGACGTGCTAACCAATACTTATGTTGCCGCATTCGTCACACGATCACGCCATGACTACTCATCTGTTAGATACTCTATCGTTCTTTATATTGACAGGGGCCAAGACATGTTCATTTATATATTGAGTCGTTTTGAGTGAGCTGATTGTTTCTACTGTTAGAGTGATAGGAATCTGGCGAAGGGGGATTCAATCCTGAGTACTTGTGAAAACCATTCCTGTATAGTCAATTATGACTGATATGTTGTCTTCTTGGCACTTGCCGTAATGTAATCCATGACTTTTCTTTGCTTTCATTGGTTGAATTTAGAACTACGTTATACAATCTGTGATATTTGATTGTTCAGACAGATGGGTCATTTCGATTCGACTGGAATGGAGAAGAGACTCCTTCTACTTCCTTGTTAAATGTTGTTCACATCACTACTTTGGAATTTTTGATTTGTTAATAAAGTTAC